GCGAGACTCGAATAATCGTATCTTTCCTTCCCAGATTGTCCAGTCTTGTGCGCGATCTGAGCGCGAATGAGGGAGACATTATTGTAATTTTCACTTCCTTCATGCTTTGCATCATTCTGACATATTTTTCAGATGCGATGGTTCTCGTTGAAATGCAACTATAATCCCGTACAGTAAATTCTCCCCAATTTTCCTTCAGCTTGTACACAAAAAATGGACAATTTGGGAAAAGGAGATACGATTATTCAAGCCTTGCACCTCGTCTTTATAATTGTTGACAATCGATAATTATAAAAATGAGCCGCGAGTCTCGAGTAATAATACCTTCTCTTCCCAAATTGTCCATTTTTTTGTGTACAAGCTGAAGGAAAATTGGGGAGAATTTACTGTGTAAGGGTTTAACCAGGGGTGTCAAACTCGCGGCCCGAGATGAACATTTTTGATGTCAAGTATCAGGACGTAAACAATAATTTAACTTTATATATGTTCATTACAATGTACTAGTCAAAATAAAAATATTTGTTTCTATGAACATTGATTTTTTTTTTGCGGCCCACCTAAAGTTAAGCATTGTTTATTTGGCCCAAGTTAGCTTTTGAGTTTGACATCCCTAGTTTAGACGTTTAAAGCGCTGTTTTTCTTCCTCACGGTCAAAAGGGCCATCATAGTAGGTGCGTAAAGTAGGGACCGTCGTCAGTTCGAAAGAAACAATCGGCTAGCACGCATCACGGAAAATTACATTATTCACAGTTCCTCAGTTTTTACAGCATAGCCATCCGGTTCTCTGCATACGTCATTAATTTGTTGACTTTTAAATTCTGATACACGTGGATACTCCGCACGTCTTCATAAGTATCGCTGTTTTTACGGTATAATAAATAGACTGCGGATCATTCTGCAAAATAAAAGCTCTATGTCAGTTGCAAAAGGTAAAAAATAAATGAACACGAATTTCATTTCGTGATTTGAATAAATCCGAAATAGTGTAACAGTAGTCTTAAAATCTTTGAATGTCTTTACAATTTTGTATTTTACCTATTCATTTTTCTGATTAGTGCATTAAATCCGCAGTCTAATAACGAAGTATGTATAAAATAGCGAATGAGGTATATTACTTATTTCCATAACCATCCATCAGATTCTTTACGTACGAATAGCATTTCCTTAACCATTTGCGCTACAAAGTATTTTCTTTCTTTTGTTATGTCGTTATGTAATTCAAGGACACACCGATATCTAATTTTGCAACCTAATTAGAACAGTTTGGAAATACTACAAGAATTTTTCCATTCCACACAATTGTTACATCATTTATGGACATTATGTGAATTAATAAAATAAGTAATTATTAACATTAAATCTACCGAGCAGAAACGACTGGCGTTTTTGCCGCATAAAAGTGAGAAGATCGAATTCATTTACATCTTATACAGTTTTTATTATAAAACTTGCTACAACAGCGTAACTTATTCAAACACTTTCCATAAAAAAGCCCACAAAGTTTGTAGCATTGTAAAATAAAAGACCAGTCATTTTGACCGTGCTAGGTTTAGTGTTGATGCAAAAGTCAATGTCGAATCTGTTTCGACATAGGACAGCAAAGAGATAATTATCGTAATCAATTATCTTTCCATCGTGCTGATCTCTTTACCGTTGTGTTAATTTGACATCAGAGCACAAATTAATTTGGGGAAATAAGTAACTGGTGATCGGTAACGAAAACAAAATTGTTAGAAGATTGGAAATTTAGGAAAAGTAAAGAGTGTTAAATAGGAGCGTTATTGTTTTCAAGGTGTACGCAATTCAATGGTCAGATTTTGGACTTGACGGTTTTATCTCGAGTAAACAGTAAATTCTCCCCAATCGTCACTCAGCTTCTAAAGAAAATTTGAACAATTTGAGAAGACGAGATACAATTATACGAGCCTCACGACTCGTTTTTATAGTTGCCGACTGCCCACAACTTTATTCCTTCCAGTGAATAAAGTGTCGATATAACGCTTGCGATACAAATCTTCAGTCTGAAATTATTGGAACGAAGATTAGAATTTTCACCGCGTTATTAGAAACACAGTAAATTCTCTCCAATTGCCGCTCAGCTTGTAAAGAAAAATGGACAATTTGGGAAGACGAGATACGATTATACGAGCTTCGCGACTCGTGTTTATAGTCGTCGACCGTTTGAATCAATTTTTAGTCATTCTTAGCGTTCGCTGTAAATTGTAACCAATCTAATTCGTACTCGACTTTGGCGACGCTGAATAATGCTCCTTTACGATTGCATTAAAGTAAACAATGCCTGGTCTCTACAGAATATTAAGTTTATCGAAGATAAAGCACGTAGCGTAATTAATGTATATCAGAGTTCAGAACCGAACCAATTAAAACCTCGGTAATTCGCGTCACAGACCGACATAAAATACAGACTGATAATGAGTCAACCGTTAGGGATAAGAAAAACAGAATTTAACGAACGCGAGTTAGGGATCATTAATTTGCCGATAATGATGTAACCGTAGACATCTTTGATAAAGGATCGAAGAACATCTGTTCGCCAGTTCGAATCAAGTGACCAGCCTCTCGTATCGTTACGAGAACAAAGCTGATCTCCCGAGGCTGATTAGAGAACGGAGAGCGCGCGTATGAAATAACCGAATGATCTCTCTATCGGTTTGTTGTTCTTTACATCGTCGGGCGAAATGTCCGCTCGAAAACACCCGGGAAACGTTAACGGCGAAACAGATGAAACACCGATTACCTCGTGATGGTTGCGAAATATTTCGATCGAGCGGTGGTTGCGCAGCGACTGCGATAATTACTGCTAATGTAAATGTTCGTTAATGGGCGTTATTAAATGCAACGCGGCAAAATAGTCACCGAGCGTCACGCCGTACAAGCTGCGCCCACGCCTGCTAACCGGTCCAATTATATTAATTAAATGAACATTATAATTAGCTAATTAAATCAAAAGCATTTCGGTATACGCGGGTATATATACGAGCCAGCTCGATGATCGCGGCACGGTCCACCGATTTTCGGTGTGTGCGCGTGCTCCGTGTCGTAGAATGCGATAAAGGTTTCACAATGACACTGGTAAGCGGTATTGTTCGGCCAGATTTTCCATGATTTTACAGGGGCTGAGTATTTCGGCCCGGCTGAGATTATACGATAATCAAATTCCCACGCGGCAAACAAAATGACACAGCACCGATGGCGGACGCGCTGCACCACTCCGCTCCGCAACGCTCCACACCGCTCCACACCGCTCCACACCGCGCCGCGGCCAGCCGGTTCGC